GTGAATTTGGGGAGGGGTCTCACCCTGCATGGCCTTGTACTGCATGGGGGTGATGTGCTCGAAGCCGGGGGGGGGCACGTCCCAATATTTCCGAATTTTCTTCTTCTTCTCGTGCCGGGGGGAGCGGCTGGGGAGGGGAGAGAAAAAAAGGAAAAATAACCCAAAAATCAACCCAAAACCCCCCAAAAATAACCCAAAAACCAACTCAAAACCTCCCTGAAAACCTCCCGAAAATAACCAAAAAAACAACCCAAAACACTCCCAAAAATAACCCAAAAACCAACTCAAAACCTCCCTGAAAACGCCCAGAAAATATCCCAAAAAACAACCCAAAACCCCCCCAAAAAAACCAAAAACCAACCCAAAACCCCCCGAAAATAACCCAAAAATCAACCCAAAACCCCCTGAAAATAACCCAAAAACTAACCCAAAACCTGCCCGAAAATAACCCAAAAACCAACTCAAAACCCTCTGAAAATAACCCAAAAACTAACCCAAAACCTGCCCGAAAAGAACCCAAAAATCAACCCAAAACCCCCCGAAAATAACCTAAAAACCAACTCAAAACCTCCCTGAAAACGTCCAGAAAATATCCCAAAAACAAACCCAAAACCCCCCCCAAAAAACCAAAAACCAACCCAAAACCCTCCGAAAATAACCCAAAAACCAACCTAAAAATACCCCTGAAAATCTCCCGAAAAAAACCCAAAATTCTCCCCAAAAACTCCTAAAAAAACCCAAAAATCCCCCCCAAAAATCCCCTGAAAATCTCCCGAAAAAAACCCCCAAAATTCTCCCCAAAATCCCCTCCAAACCCCACAAAAAAAAATCCCAAAAAACCTCCTTAAAACCACCAAAGACCCCCCCCAAAAAACCCCAAAAATCTTCTGAAAAAAACCCCAAAATTCTCCCCAAACAACCCCAAAAAAAACCCCAAAATTCTCCCCAAAAGCCCCTAAAAATCCCAAAAAAACCCCAAAATTCCCCCAAAAAACTCCCGAAAAAAACCCCAAAATTCTCCCAAAAACCCCCTAAAAATCCCCAAAAAAACCCCAAATATCTCCCAAAAAAACCCCCCAAAATTCTCCCCAAAACCCCCCAAAAAAACCCAAAAATGCCCAAAAATTCCCCAAAATCCCCGGACTCACCTCAGGGGGCCCGAGAGGCTCAGGGGTGACCTGGGGGGATTTTGGAAGGGGTGAGACCCCCGAAATTGGGGGGCGGGGGAGTCCCACCCCAATTTGGGGGTCCCCAACCCAAAATTGGGATCCCCCAGCCGAAATTTGGGATCCCCCAACCCAAATTTGGGATCCCAGCCCCATTTTGGGGGTCCCCACTCCCATTTTTAGGGTCCCACTCCCATTTTTGGGGGTCCCAGCCCCATTTTTGGGGTCCCTTGCCCATTTTTGGGGATGCTTATCCCCATTTTTGGGATCCCCATCCCCATTTTGGGGTCCCCAATCCCATTTTGGGGTCCCCAATCCCATTTTGGGGTCCCCAGCCCCATTTTTGGGGTCCCCAATCCCATTTTTGGGGTCCCCAACCCCATTTTTGGGATCCTCAGCCCAAATTTGGGGTCCCCAATCCCAAATTTGGGGTGCCTTCCCATTTCTGGGGTCCCTTCCCCATTTTTGGGGATGCTTATCCCCATTTTTGGGATCCCCATCCCCATTTTGGGGTCCCCAATCCCATTTTGGGGTCCCCAGCCCCATTTTGGGGTCCCCAATCCCATTTTTGGGGTCCCCAACTCCATTTTTGAGATCCTCAGCCCAAATTTGGGGTCCCCACTCCCAAATTTGGGGTGCCTTCCCATTTCTGGGGTCCCTTCCCCATTTTTGGGGATGCTTATCCCCATTTTTGGGATACCCATCCCCATTTTGGGGTCCCTAGCCCCATTTTGGGGTCCCCAATCCCATTTTTGGGGTCCCCAACCTCATTTTGGAGTCCCCAGTCCCATTTTTGGATCCCCAATCCCATTTTTGGGGCTCCCAGCCCCATTTTTGGGGGGTCTCACCTCAATCCTGGTGGTCCTGGGGTGTTCCCAGTGCTCCCAGTAACCCCAGTGCCAACTCCCAGTATCCCCAGTATCCCCAGTGACCGATCCCAGTATTCCCAGTATCCCCAGTGCCTATTCCCAGTATTCCCAGTGCTCCCAATGCTCCCAGTATCTCCAGGGCTGTTCCCAGTGCCAATTCCCAGTAGTCCCAGTAATCCCAGTGCCAATTCCCAGTGCTCCCAGTATCCCCAGTCCCAATTCCCAGTATCCCCAGTATCCCCAGTGACTGATCCCAGTGCTCCCAGTATCCCCAGTGCCAATTCCCAGTATCCCCAGTGACTGATCCCAGTGCTCCCAGTATCCCCAGTCCCAATTCCCAGTATCCCCAGTGACCGATCCCAGTGCTCCCAGTATCCCCAGTGCCCATTCCCAGTATCCCCAGTATCCCAGTGCCCATTCCCAGTGCTCCCAGTGCCCATTCCCAGTATCCCCAGTATCCCCAGTGCCCATTCCCAGCATTCCCAGTATCCCCAGTATCCCAGTGCCCATTCCCAGTATCCCCAGTATCCCCAGTGCCCATTCCCAGTATCCCCAGTATCCCAGTGCCCATTCCCAGTATTCCCAGTGCTCCCAGTTACCGGCGGCGGCGGCGGTCGCGGGACANCCCAAAAAAACCCCAAAATTCTCCCCAAAACCCCCCAAAAAACCCCAAAAAAAAACCAAAGTTCCCCAAAATCCCCGGACTCACCTCAGGGGGAAAAAAAGGCTCAGGGGTGACCTGGGGGGATTTTGGAAGGGGTGAGACCCCCAAAATTGGGGGGGGGGGGAGTCCCACCCCAATTTGGGGGTCCCCAACCCAAATTTGGGATCCCCCAGCCGAAATTTGGGATCCCCCAACCCAAAATTGGGATCCCCAACCCAAATTTGGGATCCCCCAACCCAAAATTGGGATCCCCCAGCCGAAATTTGGGATCCCCCAACCCCAAATTTGGGATCCCCAACACAAATTTGGGATCCCATCCCCATTTTTAGGGTCCCACTCCCATTTTTGGGATCCCCAACCCCAAATTTGGGCCCCCAGCCCCATTTTTGGGGTCCCAATCCCATTTTTGGGGTCCCAGCCCCATTTTTGGGATCCCAATCCCATTTTTGGGGTCCCAGCCCCATTTTTGGGTTCTCTTCCCCATTTTTGGGATCCCCATCCCCATTTTGGGGTCCCCAGCCCCATTTTTGGGATCCCCAGCCCCATTTTGGGGTCCCCAATCCCAAATTTGGGGTCCCCAATCCCATTTTTGGGGCCCCCAACCCCATTTTTGGGATCCTCAGCCCAAATTTGGGGTCCCCAATCCCAAATTTGGGGTCCCAATCCCATTTTTGGGGTCCCAGCCCCATTTTTGGGATCCCTTCCCCATTTTTGGGGTCCCCAGCCCCATTTTTGGGGACCCCAACTCCATTTTTGGGATCCTCAGCCCAAATTTGGGGTCCCAATCCCAAATTTGGGGTCCCAATCCCATTTTTGGGATCCCCAACCTCATTTTGGAGTCCCCAGTCCCATTTTTGGATCCCCAATCCCATTTTTGGGATCCCCAACCCCATTTTTGGGGGGTCTCACCTCAATCCTGGTGGTCCTGGGGTGTTCCCAGTGCTCCCAGTAACCCCAGTGCCAACTCCCAGTATCCCCAGTATCCCCAGTGACCGATCCCAGTATTCCCAGTATCCCCAGTGCCTATTCCCAGTATTCCCAGTGCTCCCAATGCTCCCAGTATCTCCAGGGCTGTTCCCAGTGCCAATTCCCAGTAGTCCCAGTAATCCCAGTGCCAATTCCCAGTGCTCCCAGTATCCCCAGTCCCAATTCCCAGTATCCCCAGTATCCCCAGTGACTGATCCCAGTGCTCCCAGTATCCCCAGTGCCAATTCCCAGTATCCCCAGTGACTGATCCCAGTGCTCCCAGTATCCCCAGTCCCAATTCCCAGTATCCCCAGTGACCGATCCCAGTGCTCCCAGTATCCCCAGTGCCCATTCCCAGTATCCCCAGTATCCCAGTGCCCATTCCCAGTGCTCCCAGTGCCCATTCCCAGTATCCCCAGTATCCCCAGTGCCCATTCCCAGCATTCCCAGTATCCCCAGTATCCCAGTGCCCATTCCCAGTATCCCCAGTATCCCCAGTGCCCATTCCCAGTATCCCCAGTATCCCAGTGCCCATTCCCAGTATTCCCAGTGCTCCCAGTTACCGGCGGCGGCGGCGGTCGCGGGACACGCTGCGCTGGTCGCGGTTGCGGCGCTCCCAGTGCTCCCAGTATCCC